CCTAAACCCTAAACCCTAAACCCTAAATCCTAAACTCTTGAAGAGAGCCCTGACAGTTTTGCTTTGGATATGCCTGCTGCAAGACCAAACCCCAAGAACAAAACTGCGAACCCAGGGTTTAGGGACGAGGGTTTAGGGTTTGGGGTTTAGGGCTAGGGTTTAGGGTTTAGGGTTTAGGGTTTAGGGTTTAGGGTTTAGGGTTTTGGGTTTTGGGGTTTATGGCTTAGGGTTTCGGATGTCGGGCGGTTAGACTAACTTTTCGCTGCTTCCACAAAGATGACACTGGAGGGCCCAGGAGTCCAACACATCAACCACCAGAAGCCCTAAACCCTGAACCCTGAACCCTGAACCCTAAACCCTAAACCTAAACCCTAAACCCTAAACCCTAAACCCTAAACCCTAAACCCTAAACCCTAAACCCTAAACCCTAAACCCTAAACCCTAAACCCTAAACCCTGGTCCTAGAAGTGCTTAGCCTCCATTCAGCAGCTGTTCAAGGATCTGCGAGTCATGGGCTCTTGCCAGGCCAGCGAGGCAGGAGGAGCTGGCTTGGGGTCAAAAGGTTCTGGAAACGAGGTTTAGGGTTTAGGGTTTAGGGTTTAGGGGCTTAGGGCCTTGGGGTGTCAAATCTCGCTTCACGGGGTTTCGAGCGTGCTGCTTGCGCGATTGGTGCTGCGATGGTGTCCCCACCCTCTGGTTTTTATGCCGTGGGCGCAGGTAGTCGTCCAGGAGGAGATCGACGTGCGAAAGGGGCCAGCGGCCAAGGCTGAGGCCCCGGAGCCCAGCTCCACCGCGTCCACCGCCTCCCCGGCCCCCTCCGTGGAAGAAATCCCGCCCGCCCCCGCACCAGTCGAAGCGCCCGCGGCGGAAGCTCGGCGCAAGGCAATAAGCTCGCTTCTTTGGTTCTACTTTTTGGTGTGCTCGCTGGTCATGCCGTAGGGGGCCCCGGCGCAGCCCGAGGTGGTGGAGGCCCCGGCGGAGGTGGCGAAGGCCCCGGAGCCCGAGGCCGCGGCTCCAGTGGAAGAGGCGAAGCCCGTGGTCCACGAGACGAGGCCTTTCTTTGTCCGGAGTTTTAGAGGGTTTGTCTGGCGTTGTTGCCTTTGTGCCGCCTCCTTTTTGTGTTTACTTTTGCAGGTTCGGGGTCTTGCTGGAGAGTCCCTTGGCTGCGGGTGATGGATGTGATTGGCCTTGCAAGGCAGTACTAGGTCACAAAGCACCTCTTGTGAAGATGGTCCTGCATTGCCAACCCAGAATTCCACGCCTGCGAAATGCGCGACGAGTCCGGCGCGATCACGGACATCGACATGGCCAAGTTCTTCGAGGTGAACTGATCATGAGCTGAAACCTTACGTTTCAAGCATGATCGAGCCATCTTGCTTCCTTGTCAGGCCTGCGAGCTCTATCGTGCCTGGGCTTAACTCAACTTCTGTGACTGGGTGCCGGACTAGGCTCGTTGGCTTTTGAAGTGAACGCCGCGCTGCTCCCCTGCCCAGGCGACATGCTGTCCAAGCTTGGGTCAGCAGCCGGGGTGGTGCTGGGCGACATCACGAGCAACCTCAAGAAAGCCAGGGCGGCTCGGACTCAAGACCTTTGCTGATGGGGTTTGTTGGGGTCGCGAGAAAAAGAAGAGTGACTGGCCAGATGACCGGCACGATTCAGGTGGTCTATGAGGAAGCCCCGGAAGAGCGAAAGACTTTCTCAGGCTACCTGCCCCTGCCTTAGCGCTGCCGCCTGGGCGCTTTCTTGGGGAATCGGGACTGGGGTTTCGGGGGGGAGACTGCTCATTTCAAGCTGTGGCATAGTCAGATCTGGCCCTCTCCATTGAACTGGCTCTTCAATCTTACCACTTCGGACTGTCTCTTGGCAATCCTTTGCGTGGTGCGTTCTTCCAACACACCTAAACCCAAATATCCTCGTCGCCTTCAACGCTAAATGCCACGCCCGGAGTTTCCTGTATTGGGCCCAAAGATTCCCACAGTCTCACCTTCCCCCGAAATCCAGAGGCCCGAGTTTTTTGAAGCCTGAGGAAGGCCTCCTCTGTTGTGGGCGCCACTTGGCTTCTGAGGCCCAGGGGTGTGAGACTTTGGTAGAAGTCCGGACTTGCGCAGGCGTAGGGTTCAGAGGTTTGTGACTTCAGATTTGGGCTTGGTGTGCCCCGAAGTGCTTGCTTTGTGCGTATGTACTCTTCTGGTCAGTTGCCCTGAAAGTTAAGGTAGGGTCCCCTTTGAGGTCCTGCTGCTGTCATAGGGCCCTGAGTGGTTCAGATGGAGCTTTGGAGACCTGCTCGTTGTCTCCCACTGTGCAGGGGATGCGAGTTCTTCTTGACCATGATCAAGCTGATGTTCACCCAGGAATCTGGCAACGCGGGTGTTGAGGCCTGTGCCGCAGCTCTTACGGTGGATTCTGCATGGATGAGTTAATGGATGAAGATTGCCGTGTCGTCCCTCGTGGACGATGTGTTAGCCTGATGATCACAGCTGGCAATGCCATGTCGACCACACAAAGCTGTTCTCGTCCTTCAGCGCGTATGGGCATGCGAGTTTTGACTGTAGTAAGTACGTTCATTCCAAAGCCGCGGTTCAACATGCCCTCCAACCTCGGGGGCCCTAGTTGGAGCCAGGCATACAAGCAGACACTGATGCAGTACCACGGCTGGGTCCGAAACTCAGCGTGTGGGAGCGGAAGCAGTTGAAAAACCAAGCTGTGCCCCCTTCGAGGTTTATGCGTTTTCCGTCCTAGACTCCTCAACACCCGACTTGTTGACGCCGGCCGACGCCGGCTGACGCCGGCGCCGACGCCCATCCCTACACATTTGGGTACACTACCCCTGAACCCTACATCTTCAAAGCCACTGTAGTCTCGCTCCCAGATGCTGCAGAAGACGGTGAAGCTTGGAATGCGCGCCATGCCGGGGAAGGATGGCATCGTGAAGTCCGAGGGCCTGGTCCTAGGCCCCTCTCTGCCTTTCTTGCTCTCTTTCATTTTGATCCTTTTGGGGGGGGGTTTTGCTCGGGTTTGGGCAAGGGCTGCGGGACGATGTGGTTCGTCCCTTCAGGGCAGAATCTCGGGGTTACAGAAAACGTCTCCTTCGGACTGAAAGCCGGTCAGAAAGGCGCTTCCGTGTCCCAGGAATCGCTCGATTGCATGCATCGATAACGCAAATGCGAAGTCAATTTTGCACCCGCCTCCAGAAGCAGTTCGCCATACTGTAAGCCCTGACACCCTGACACCCTAAAAACCCTAAACCCTCAACCCTCAACCCTAAACCCTAAACCCGCTTAAGCACGTGCTTGGGGACGACGTGCTTAAAACTTGGGGGAACATTATACCAAGCCCATCGAGAGGCCCGCGAACTGAAGCGCGTCACCCCTCAGCCCCTGTCCGTGATCCGAAGCTCAAAACTTAGGGATGCTTGGGGTTTAGGGTTTAGGATTTAGGGTTTCGGGTTTAGGGTTTAGGGGGAACTCTAACTCCCAAAAAACAGCTAGATTTTTGTGATTTTCGCTGGGGTTCCAAGTTCTGTATAGAACAGCGCCCGGCAGTCGCCGCGTCGCCGGAGCAGAAGACAAAGCTCTGCGAGCGCGACGCGCCGGCGGCCTCCAACGCGGGCCTGGAGCTGCCGCCTGGAGCAAATTTTTCATAGGGTTTAGGGGTTTCAGGGGTTGAGGGGTTCAGAGTCTAGGGTGTAGGGGTTTGGGTTATGTTGAGAACCGGAAAGAGTTTAGGACATGTTTCAAGTCTTGCTATGGTTGGAAGGGGTGTATAGACTTGTTTATGAAACTGTTCGGCTTAGGGCTTGCAGAGGTTTGGAGATCTATGATTTTAGGGGTGTTTGGGGATGAAGCTAATGGCTGAGGGTGCAGTGGATGGTGGAGCTGATGAAGAAGGAGGGGAGGTGGGACACCAAGAAAGCCTGAGCTAGCCGCGACGCTTCCCCTTCCTTTGAATCGAATTGAGGGGTTTTGGGAGCCATCCGAGCTCTCATTGTCAGTTTCAAGGTGCCTCGGCAGTAGAACCGAGCCCGTGGTAGTAGTGGAAGGACTTGGGATCCCCCTGATATTAACAGCTCCTTAATAGGGATTCTAGTACCACCCTATTGTAATCCCTATTAAAAATCTTGTTCGTCTAAGGCGGGACATCCCAAGGAAGGATACTGGGAGTGTTTTTTGCTCCGGCCCTTCAGTGGTGGCCAACGGACCATCCACGAAGAGTGGTGATGGACCGCCCGCCGCCCGTGGTGCGAAACAGCCCCCTTGTACGTTTATTTATCAGTTTTGTTTCCCTGCCTAAAAGCAGTTCCTTACAGATTGTACAGTTGTACAGGCACCTGTCAAAGCACCTCGCCTCACGTGGCGGAGACGTCAAACTGTTGACGCCCAGCTGGGCAGGTTCGAGCAAGGTTTCCCTTTAAGCCCTAAACTACCCCAACAGCCCACAACCCTAAACCCTAAACCCTATAAACCCTGTAAACCCTATAAACCCTATAAACCCTATGAACCCTGTAAACCCTATAAACCCTATAAACCCAAAACCCTACAACCCTAAACGCGAGACAAGGCCCAAAACCCTCTACCCTTAGAGAAGAAGGGCAGACTTCAGCTATCTAACCCCTGAAAAACCCCTCAGCCCCAAGCAAGCCCCAGAGCCGTCCCGCTGCGTGTTGGCTGCAAGACTTACACGGCTCCCTACTATCTCTCCAGCCACAGCTCCTTGGCTGCTTTTGCGCTCTAGGGCTGAGGTTGAAATTGAGCAAGAAGTTTGTATGGCTTCAGAGAGCAGGGGGGGTTGGGGGTGGGGTTCTTTTCGAGACCCCCGAAGTCAAGAAGAAGCAGCGCTCTTGTTGCAGCACCTTTAAAAAACACACGCTGGCGAGATCCCCAATGTCTTAACGCGCCTCAGGCCAAACTCATCCACCATCCTCGTAGCCGAGACGCGGATTCGATGGCCTTAATGCTTAACAACCGCTCCCCCAGCACCAAAAATTTTAAACCCTAAGCCCTAAACCCTAAACCCTAAACCCTAAACCCTACAGCTGCAACGTGAATTTTTAACAAAGTCGAGGCTCACACCTCAGCAATGGGCAACTGCCAGGCAGCCGAGGCAGCCTGGGCACTTTCTTGGGCTTGGGCCTTGGGGCTTAGGGTTTTAGAGTACTACAAAAAATAAGCAGGTGTAAATGAGAAATTCATCCCGATTCTTAGGAAAAATAGCCTAGGGTTTCGGGCCGAGAGCCTCACACAGGGCATCCCCCCGACGTCGACATGGTGTTGGGGCCTTTGGAATTGGGAGGTTGTATGCTGTTGTTGGAGTTCGCTGGTTCGGTGTTGTTACGACGTCTTGTTTCTGGTTTTATTCCGTGGGCGCAGGTCGCCGTCCAGGAGGAGATCGACGTGCGAAAGGGGCCAGCGGCCAAGGCTGAGGCCCCGGAGCCCAGCTCCACCGCGTCCACCGCCTCCCCGGCCCCCTCCGTGGAAGAAATCCCGCCCGCCCCCGCACCAGTCGAAGCGCCCGCGGCGGAAGCTCGGCGCAAGGCAGTAAGCTCGCTTCATTGGTCTTTTGTTTTGGTGTGCTCGCTGGTCATGCCGTAGGGGGCCCCGGCGCAGTCCGAGGTGGTGGAGGCCCCGGCGGAGGTGGCGAAGGCCCCGGAGCCCGAGGCCGCGGCTCCAGTGGAAGAGGCGAAGCCCGTGGTCCACGAGACAAGGCCGTCCCATCCCATCCGGAGATCTGTGTCCGGCGTTGCTGCCTTTGTGGCCTTTGTGCTGCCTTCTTTTGTTTATTTTGCAGGTTCGGGATCTTGCTGGAGAGTCCCTCGGCTGCAGGTGGTGGATGTTATCGGCATTGGAAGGCAGTACTTGGTCACAAAGCGCCTCTTGTGAAGACGTCCTTGCACTGCCAACTGAGAATTCCACGCCTGCGAAATGCGCGACGAGTCCGGCGCGATCACGGACATCGACATGGCCAAGTTCTTCGAGGCGAATTGAGCTGTCCGAAAAACCTCAGGTTTCAAGCATGATCGTGCCATGCATCTTGCGGCTTGCCTTTTGTCAGGCCTGCGAGCTCTATCGTGCCTGGGCTTAACTCAACTTCGTTGGCTTTTGAACCGAACGCCGATTTACTTCGCTGCCCAGGCGACATGCTGTCCAAGCTTGGGTCAGCAGCCGGGGTGGTGCTGGGCGACATCACCAGCAACCTCAAGAAAGCCAGGGCGGCTCGGACTCAAGACCTTTGCTGATGGGATTTGTTGGGGTCGCGAGAAAAAGAAGAGTGACTGGCCAAATGACCGGCACGATTCAGGTGGTCTATGAGGAAGCCCCGGAAGAGCGAAAGACTTTCTCAGGCTACCTGCCCCCGCCTTAGCGCTGCCTGGGCGTTTGCCCGGCTATTTTCGTTGAGAGTGGCCTGCCTGGGGGACTCTGTTTCTCATAGTCTTATTTTTTCGATCGCTTGTCTGCTTAACTCGCGCTCCACAGCCATTTGACGAAAACGCCCCTACACGTTTGAAGTGCGAGCGTGCATTGACCAATCATGGCTCTTGTCTCAGCTGCACAAACCCTGAAGCAAGGAACCTATTTACAGACACAGCTGCGACTCGTCATTAACAACCGTTGGTATATATACATAAATAAATAAATAAATATATACATATATATACACAGATACATATACAAATATGTCTCTGTTCGCATTAAAGCTTACCTGTACAGATTACCACTAAGTCTTGCAAGTCCTGCAAGGGTAATTCTACATATAAACGCCTGTCGTCGATGCATACGATTTACCAGCAGTCTTTGAGCATTTAACATGAACGTGTATGCCCTGACAAAGCCATGTTTAGAGCAACTCCCTTGCAGATCCTGCCGTTCATGTTCTTCAACCCTACCATTTCGGACCCTCTGCCGTGCTGGCAATCCAAAACTCAGAGCGCTTTCCCCCAAGGAAGGCCTCGTCTGTTGTGGGCTGCACTTGGCTTCTGAGGCCCAGGGGTTTGAGAGTTACTTAGGTCGTGGGTTGGGATGTTCCCCCTTATACTAACACTTTAATCCCAATTAAGGACCGTTAGAATAATGGGGAACATGTGGGCGTCGGGTTGGGCACCCCTTAGGTTTGTGCCGAGACACATGGACAAAAAGCGGGCTTGGCGTGCTGTCAAGTGCTTGCCTTGTCCGTATGTACTCTTCCGGTCAGTTGCCTTGAAATCTTAAAGTATGGTCCTTTTTGGGGTCCTCCTGCTGTCATACGGCCCTGAGTTTGTGGTGCAGATGGCACTTTGGAGCACTGCTCGTTGTGCTGTAGATGTCCCACTGTGCAGGGGATGCGAGTTCTTCTTGACCATGATCAAGCTGATGTTCACCCAGGAATCTGGCAATGCGGGCGTCGAGGCCGGTGCCACAGCTCTCACAGTCAATTCTGTGTGAATGAGCTAGTGGATGGGATAACCGTGTCGTCACTCGTGGACGACGTGATAGCTTCATGAGCACTATCGACCAAGCAAAGCTGTTCTCGTCCTTCAGCGCGTATGGGCATGCGACTTTCGACTGTAGTCAGTACGTTCATTCCAAACTGCGGTTCAACATGCCCTCCAACCTCACGGCACCATAGATGGAGCCAGGCATACAAGCAGACACTGATGCAGTACCACGGCTGGGTCCGAAACTCAGCGTGTGGGAGCGACGCCCTCTGACGCCGGCGCCGACGGCCGTCCCTAAACATGTGGGTACACTACCCTGAACCCTTACATCTTCAAAGCCACTGTAGCCTCGCTCCCAGATGCTGCAGAAGACGGTGAAGCTTGGAATGCGCGCCATGCCGGGGAAGGATGGCATCGTGAAGTCCGAGGGCCTGGTCCTAGGCCCCTCTGCCTTTCTTGCTCTCTTTCATTCTGATCCTTTTGGGGGGTTCTGCTCTGTTTTTGGGGCAAGGCGGCAGGGTTGAGTTTGCCTGGTTCAGGGCTGGAAGTATGGCGAGTTGAGTTGCATCTCGAGCCCCGGGTGCAAAACTGATTTCGCATTGCGTCATCGACGCATGCAATCGTTGCGATTCCTGGGATGCAGAAGATTTCTACCCGTGTCGAACCCTGGAAGGCCCATGGATCTAAACGAGTGGCTTTCTGTCAGTGTATCATGAGCGAGCCCTGACCCTAATCCCAAACCCTGAACCCTAACGCACCAACCTGTGGGAGCTGATTGCATAACAAGGAACCTGAGTATGGCTGACCCGTAGAAGGTGCGGAAGTCGAACCCTGAGGGCCCGGAACACCCAAACCCATCCAGAGGCCCGCCGACGAGCCGAAGCAAAACCCAAAACTCCCCAAAACCCAAAGCCCCAAACCCTAAACCCCAAACCCTCAACCCCTTTCCGTGCCGAAACCGAAAGCGCACGGCAGTCGCCGCGTCGCCGGAGCAGAAGACAAAGCTCTGCGAGCGCGACGCGCCGGCGGCCTCCAACGCGGGCCTGGAGCTGCCACCTGGAGCAACTTTTTCGTATAGGGTGTAGGGGGGTTTAGGGGTTTAGGGGTTTAGGGGTTTAGGGGTTTAGGGATTTAGGGGTTCAGGGCAGGCTTCAAGTTTTGCTATGGTTGTAAGAGGAGAACAGAAGATTTTATGAAGCTGTTCTGTTTAAGGCTTGTGGGGTTAAGAAGGTATTGGACTGTAGGGTTGTTGTTTTTTCGGGTACTTGGGCGTAGGAATGTCGGCCAACAGCCGAGGGTGCAGTGGATGGTGGAGCTGATGAAGAAGGAGGGGAAGTGGGATACCAAGAAAGCCTGAGTCCCCGAATTCTTGAATCGAAGCAAATCGAACTGAGGGGGTTTGGGAGCCATCCGTGCTCCCGTTGTCAGTTTCAAGGTGCCTCGGCAGTAGACCCGAGCCCGTGGTAGTGGAAGGACGCTGGGGTGTTTTTTTGCTTCGGCCCTTCCGTGGTGGCCGTGGACCATCCACGAAGAGTGGTTATGGACCGCCCGCCGCCCGTACTGCCAAACAGCCCCCCTTGTACGTTTATTTCAGTTTTGTTCTGCTTAAAGGCAGTTCCTTACAGTTGTACAGGCATCTGTTAAAGCACCTCGCCTCACTTGGCGGAGACGTCAGACTGCTGCCAATGCAGCTGACCGCATTCATCGCCCAAGCCACGTCGCTCGTCCTTTGGGTTGCTGTCAAGGGGTCCAAACTCACGTACCAGAAAAAATGAGGAAAACTACACATGCGTATTCTGGTAGCTGACTCTGAAGTTCCCTATCCAATAACCTGTCATCACAGCGACTTGCAGTGCAGGGTTTGGGCTTGAGGGTTCAGGGTTCATAGGGCAAAGGGTTTATAACTTCCGAACGACCCAAACCCGAAACCCCAAAACCCCCCCCATGCCCTAAACCCCAAACATCCCCCAGCCCCAGAATCCTAAACCCTAAACCCTAAAGCCTAAATCCTAATTTTCTGAGATGTCTCCGCAAGTGATGTCGCTCTGGCCGAGTCCGACGTCACCAAACGGTTCTAGGGTATGGCTGGAAAAGGCTGCGGAGCGGTTCGCCTAGAAGCTTGAAGAGTTTTGGGGGGCGTCAGGGTTTAGGGTTTAGGGTTTAGGGTTTAGGGTTTAGGGGGGCTTTAGGGTTTGAGTCTTTCGGGGGTTTAGCTTTTTGCAGGGTTTGGGAGGGTTTTCGGGGCTCACGCACGGTCTCGTGAGTGTTCGGGAGGTTCCTGCAGTAAGGTAGTTCTCACGTGCTATCTATTGGTACATGAGGCCTTGCTGCAAGATCAAGCCCTAGACCCTAGACGGTTCAAACCCATCCTGCACACTTCAAGTCCCAAGATCATTTAGGTTTGAGGCTTAGGGTTTAGGGTTTAGGGCTTAGGGTTTAGGGCGTAGGGTGGTGTGTAGAATTCCTATGACGGTAACTTCTGGATTCCGGTGCCTTTGGACCCCGCCCTCGCGCGGAAGCGGAACGATGGGGAACACGACGTGCGTGGACACGAAAAGGATCCGATCTCCTCGTCCCGGTGATGGGTCGTTGGTTTGCATGTCGTGGCTTTCAGGTTCATGGTTGTGGGGTCCTAAATCCAAAATACCCTAAAACCCCTACACCCGAAACCCTAAACCCTAAACCCTCAACCCTAGACCCTAGACTCTGACCCTAAACCCTAAACCCTAAACCCTAAACCCTAAACCCTAAACCCTAGACCCGACCCTAGACCCTAAACCCTAGACCCTAAACCCTAGACCCTAAACCCTAGACCCTAAACCCTAAACCCATCTAAACCCTAAACCCCCAAACCGAAGGGGACTCAAGAGGGAAGCTGGATGCTTCCCAGACGATGCCGGATTTCCTGATACTGGTGCTGTTGCCGAACCATGGAACCCCAATCAGGGGTGTAGGGTTGAGGGTTTAGGGGTTTTCGTCCTGTGCCTAAGAAAGGACGGTTCAGGGATCCTTGCGGCGCTGCGGCACGGGGCTGTGTCTTGCTTCAACAGTTCGGGTCTGGGCAGAATCATCCTCGCACTCTGCGGACATCTGGGAAGTCGGGCCCTGAAATGGTAAGCTCCCGCCCTCCCCTCCCCCTGCCACGGGGTCCCCTCAATGCCAACAAGGGCAAAGGAATCACTGCAGCTCCCTCCTTCGCGTTTGGCTGCAAGACTTGCGCAGCTCCCCTGCCCTGTACGGCATCTTTCCAGCCGCAGCTCTTTGGCCACACTTGTGGGGGCTTAGGGGTACGGGGTCTGAGTTCTTTCGAAACTGCTGGGGAAGAGGGGAAAACAGAACTCGCAGGTGATTGAAGGTACAAAGCCCTAGAAGCATCCACCAACCTCATAATTCAGGGCCTACTCGTCTAGGGCCATTGAAGGTTTAGGGGTTGCAGGCCCAAGCTGCAACGTGCTTAAGTCGAGGCTCCGCCTCGGCAATGGGCAACTGCCAGGCAGCCGAGGCAGCATGGGCACTTTGTGTTTTGGTTATAGGGGGCGGGCTGGGTGTCATTTTGCCCCCTTGCGGCGCGCAGGTCGCCGTCCAGGAGGAGATCGACGTGAGAAAGGGGCCCGCATCCCAGGCCGAGGCTCCTGAGCCCAGCTCCGCCGCGTCTACCGCCTCTCCGGCCTCTCCGGCCCCCGCTGTGGAAGAAGCCTCGCCCGGCCCCGCGCCGGTCGAAGCGCCCGCGGCGGAAGCTCGGCGCAAGGCAATCTGCTCCCTTCTTTGTGTTTTTTTGCGGTGTGCTTTGGGGAGCATTCTGCAGGGGTAAGGGGCCCCTAACATCCTGGACGCCTGGCATAAAGTTCCTGCACAGAGTCGAGGTCCCGGCGCAGCCCGAGGCGGCGGCCCCGGCTGAGGCGGCGAAGGCCCCGGAGCCTGAGGCCGCGGCTCCAGTGGAAGAGGCGAAGCCCGTGGTCCACGAGACCAGGCCTTCCCATTCCATCCGGAGATCTTGGAGGGGTTTGTCTGCCGCCATGTCTTTATTTTGCTCACTTTCGCAGGTTCGGACTTTTGCTGGAGAGTCCCTCGGCTGCAGGTGATGGCTGTCATAGGCCTCTTGTGAAGACGCCCTCGGCTTTTCGTTTGTTTTTGCGCCGCCTCAGAAGTGATTGGGTGCAGTGCATTCGTACCGCATTCATCTTCATGTGCCAGGAGAGAGATATACATATATATATATATGTATGTATATATATATATATATATATTTCAGCGATAGTCGTTTGCTCATATTATTTTGGAGTGTGCCGCTTCCCTGTTGCTACATTTGCTGCGCTGCCAACTCAGAATTCCACGCCTGCGAAATGCGCGACGAGTCCGGCGCCGTCACGGACATCGACATGGCCAAGTTCTTCGAGGTTGGGACCCCGGCTGTGTCTCAAATCACACAGTAGCCATAACCCTACACCCTAATCCCTAAGCCCTAAACCCTAAACCCTAGCAAACCCTAAGATATAATAAAGGTTTAGGGTTTGGCCCTAACCCAAAACTCAAACCTTAAGACCAACAACCCTACACCCAACCTGAAGCTCTGAACTTGTGGGGGGGGGGGGGGGAGGAGGTTCAGAATCTGTTTGGGGGTTTGGGGTTTTACGGGCCTTGAGCCGACAGGGGTGTCGGGTTCAGGGTTTAGGGCTTTCGGTTTTACAGGTGCAAGGCTTAGGTTTTGCAGCCCGAGCCCAGCCACGCCCAGCCACCTTCAGCCCTAAACCCTAAACCCTAAACCCTAAACCCTAAACCCTAAAACCTAAACCCTAAACCCTAAACCCTAAGCCCTGGTTTCTTCAGCACCGCCAGGCCTGTGAGCTCTATCGCACCTTGGTTGAGTTTGATTGGGGGCCGAAGGGTTGAGGGTCCAGCGGTGCTTGGGGTTTTAGGGTTTCAGGGTTGAAGGCCCTAGGGCTGAAGTGGCCTTCCAAAACCAATTCATTGATGCCTTTTTCTGTCCGTCTTATAACAAAGATAGAGTTTGAATCAGTAAGATGTAGTAAAGAATAGCCTGGGACCTCCAGGCTTGAAAGTTCTGGGGGCTAGGGTTTAGGGTTTAGGGTTTAGGGTTTAGGGTTTAGGGTTTAGGGTTTAGGGTTTAGGGTTTAGGGTTTAGGGTACTCAGGTGACATGCTGTCCAAGCTTGGCTCGGCGGCCGGGGTGGTGCTGGGCGACATCACGACCAACCTCAAGAACTCCCGGGCTGCTCGGAAGCCCATGTAAAGCGTCGATTGAACCCTAAACCCTAAACCCTAAACCCTAAACCCTAAACCCTAAACCCTAAACCCTAAACCCTAAACCCTAAACCCTAAACCCCAAACCCGTCTGGGGGGGGGGGGTGCTACTTGCACCTCTTGGGTCTCCTGTTTAGGGTAGCAGCTTGTACTTTGGGCCGAAACCCTAAACCCTAAACCCTAAACCCTAAACCCTAAACCCTTGTAAGAACCCTAAATCCTAAACCTTACACTTTAAAAACAAGGGGGGGGGAACCAAGCGCAAGACGGCCCAGGTGGTCTATGAGGAATCTCCGGAAGAGCGAAAGACGTTTTCTGGCTACCTGCCGCTGCCTTAACGCCGTTTAGGGTTTAGGGTTAGGGTTTCGGGGGTCCCACACCTGAAGCCCAAGGCCCCACCCCGGGAAAAGAATGCACACAAAAGTCAAGCCGTCAACAAGCAGGTGCCGTGTGAACGGTCATATGCCCCTGAGGGGATCTCCTCCCATGAGGGCCCCTCTACGCCCGTTCCCCATTTCCACCCGTCCCCGTGACATGGGACAACTGGCCAGCAATCTTCCCCAAAACCCCCAAACCCCTAAACCCGTGAACCCCTAAGCCCTAAATCCTAAACCCTAATACCCCCCGAACTTGAGATTATAATCGGGGGGGTACTATAATCTCTTGAGGACTGTCAGTATAAGGGTGAACATCCCAGTCCCCCAACACCTTCGCACCCTTCCAAGCCCTCACAACCCCCTAAGCCCTAAACCCTAAACCCTAAACCCTAAACCCCAAACTTTAAACCCTAAACCCTAAACCCTACACCCTAAACCCCAAACCCCAAACCCCAAACCCTAGACCCTAAACCTGAGGAAGGCCCCCTCGGTTGCCAAGATCACCTGGCTCTTGAGGCCGCAGTTCCAACGGGGGGTTTTGAGGGGATGGGGTTCCCAAACCCCAAACCCCAAACCCCAAACCCCAAACCCCAAACCCCAAACCCCAAACCCCAAACCCCAAACCCCAAACCCCAAACCCCAAACCCCAAACCCCACACCCCAAACCCCAAACCCCAAACCCCAAACCCCAAACCCCACACCCCAAACCCCAAACCCCAAACCCCAAACCCCAAACCCCAAACCCCAAACCCCAAAACACCCCAAACCCCAACCCAAAACCCCAAACCCTAAACCCTAAACCCTAAAACCTTATACCCCAAAAGTAAAAGCCCTACACCCGAATGTAGGGTGCAGAGGCGTCAGGCTTCAGGGGAGTAGGTTGAGAGGGTGAGCGAGGGTCTGCGTCTTTTGCCCTGGCACCTGGGCACACTTTGTTGTTTTGTGGGGCAGGGGTTGCGAGCTCTTCCTGACGATGATCAAGCTGATGTTCACCCAGGAGGGTGGCAGCCCGGGCGTGGAGGCCTGTGACAGCCACAGCTGTCAGCACGATAGTCTGCAAAGGTCGAGTTCGACGCTTGTGTGTCCTAAACCCGATATAAACCTTACACCCTAAACCCCAAACCATGGTACCCTCATGTTTTGGCAGACCTGCGCTTTGTGTCACTTGAAGGGTTTGGGATGCTCAGGGTCGACATTTTTGAAGGGCTGCTTGGGTTTTTCAAGGGCTTCTTCGTGGCTCATCATGCCCTTCGATTTTTGTTAAGAAGCGGTGGGGGGGGGGGGGAGGTTCCTTTTGGGTGTTTAAGGTTTTGTCTTGGGTTTTAGGGCTTTAGGTTTTGGGGGGGACACCGAGGGACTTTTCCAGGCCTACAAGCAGACCCTGATGCAGTACCACGGTTGGGCGCGGCACCTACTTGGGTTGAGGTTTTGGGGCCTAGGGCCTAGGGTTTGGCGCTTAGGGGTTTAGGGCTTAGGGGCGGGTTTGCTTTCGGGTTTAGGGTGTAGGGTGTCAGGGTCTGCGAGTCTTTGGTTGCGTGTTACGGGGAGCCGCTACTACTTACGACGGCCACCTACTGCATGATCCCCTCACGGCAAGGCCTTTAAGCCCTTGAAACTCTACTATTCGTATTGGTAATTTTCCCGAAGTCCCTCGAAATCCTAAACCCTAAACCCGAAACCGTATGCTGACCCCAAATTCCCAGAATACCCTGAAGCCTGGGAATCCTTCGGTGGAGCTTTATTTGGGGGGGTACCCCTCCTAGAGGCCAAAACTGCTCATTCGCTGCGCCGTTCTTGAGCCACCAACCCCCCATCCGCCCCCACCCGAGGGTTTAAAGCATCTGGGAAGTGAGGGCGACGGCCTGAACCCTAAAAGACAGTGCTTTGGGTAATGGCCTGTGAAAGGTTACAGCGGGTGGGGAGAAAGAAACCGGCACCAATGAAACTTGTTGGACTGCATTGAAAACAAATGCCTTCGCGTGACACCCCTGGGGTGTGCAGGGGCGCCATTTCCACATGGTACTTGCCGCTCTAAACCCTAACCCCTAAACCCCAAACCCTAAACCCTAAATCCTAAACCCTAAACCCTAAACTCTAGACCCTAAACCCAAAACACCAAACCCCAAACCCTAAACCCTAAACCCTAAACCCTAAACCCTAAAAACCCTAAACCCTAAACCCTCAGCCCAGATGCTGCAGAAGACGGTGAAGCTTGGCATGCGCGCCATGCCGGGGAAGGATGGCGTCATGAAGTCCGAGGGCCTGATCCTAGGCCCCCTCTTTTGTTTCCTGTGGTTTAGGGTTTAGGGTTTAGGTTTAGGGTTCAGGTTTCAGGGATTTAGGGCCTGATCCTAGGCCCCGTTTCTTGCGGTTTAGGCTTTTAGGGTTTTCGGGTTTTCGGGTTCTGGGTTTAAGGGAGTTAGGGTTTTAGGGTTTTAGGATGTTTGGGTTTTAGGGTCTTCGGGTTTCAGGATTTCAGGGTTTCGGGGTTTCGGGGTTTGCCGTTGGTAGGGGGTGTGGTTTAGTGCTCAGGGCTGAGTCTTGATAGAAGAACCGTGATGGTTGCCGAGGCCCCAAGCCCAAAGCCCCAAACCCTGTTTGAACCCTCCATTTCTTGAACCTCAAGTCCGAAGTACACCCCAAGATTCTGAGTCCTTCTTGCAGGCGCGCTCACTTGGTGCCCAACTTGTCCCCTAAACCCTAAACCCTAAACCCTAAACCCTAAACCCTAAACCCTAAACCCTAAACCCTAAACCCAAACCCGAAGCCCGAAACCCTAAGCGCTTGAGACTTCGGCAGGCGAGGTGTCGCCCGAGCAGAGGACGAAGCTCTGCGAGCGCGACGCGCCAGCAGCTTCCATTGCGGGGCTGGAAGTGCAGCCTGGGCTGAAGTTCAGGGTTTAGGGTTTAGGGTTTGGGGTTTAGGGTTTAGGGTTTAGGGTTTAGGGTTTAGGGTTTAGGGTTTGGGGTTTGGGGTTTGGGGTTTGGGGTTTGGGGTTTGGTCTTCAGGGTTTAGGGTTTCGGGCGTCGCCTTCTGCCAAGCCCTGTTGCAAAGCCCTGTTGGCTAAGGGTGCACTGGATGTATGAGAAAATGAAGAAGGAGGGGAGGTGGGACGCCAAGAAGGCATGAGATGCTTTGATGCACGCCGGCTTTCCGCCCTTGATTTGGCGTTTCGGGAGCCTTCAGTGCACCATGTTCAGTATCCGCTTGGGCAGAATAGCCTCACTTGGTTTCCATCTTGTGCCCGGTTTGCTTTGGCCTGAAGTGGTGGTCGTGGACCGTCCACGAAGAGTGGTGATGGACCGCCCGCCGCAGACACTGCCCAAGAGCCGCTCTCTGTAAGTTTAGACCAGTTTATGCCAGTTTTGATCTGCTTAAAGCAGTTCCTTACAGTGGTCTTACAGTTGTACAGGCATGTTTCAAAACACCTCGTTATTGGCCAGAGGCGTCAAACAGCGGCAAGTGCAGGCTTAAGCCCAAACCTCAAACGTGCATGAAGGTTGCAGATCGTGTGCGGGTCGGCCAATCTATTCACTTCGCTATCGACACCGCTGTCATATTGGCTCGCCGATGCTGGCGGCCGGTTCTGCTAGCGGAAGTGAAACCCTAAACCCTAAAACTCTCAACCTCGCCCCACCACCTGATGTTATTGTTAAGAATGACTGTATGATTACTCCTAGTATTAAGAATACGAATAATATCAGCATGAATGGTCTTGTTATCAAGAGCAAGAAATATGTGTATGATTATGGGTATTGTTGTTATCATGAAGTGGAATATTTGCATCAATTTTACGATCATTTACGAGTATTATTAGTAGTATTCATACTATTCGTATTATGATGAGAATAGCAATAGTAAGAATTCTTGTTAGTATTCTTCGTATGATTGCTGTGATGTAGGTGCTCCTCGCATCCTGTGGCTTTCCACCTCGCATCCTGCGACTTCGCGCTGCGGAGCATGGCAGTGGCTCCCCTAAACCCTACACCTCAAACCCTAAACCCTAAACCCTACGCCCTGAACTCAGGCCCTAAACCCCAAGCGCAGGTGGCTACCCCCAGGGTTCCAGGGCAGGAGGACGCGGACCCCCTCGCCGCAGCGTGTCCAGTCATGCTGGTCCAGGCAGCCCCTCGACTGCCCTGGCCCCCCTCCTGGTCCTGCTAGCCCTGGCCCCCCCCACTTGCCTGGCCCGCCTGGCCCTGGTCCCCTGGCGCCAGGCCTGCCCCTCCACTTCACCCACAGCCGGCTGGTCCCTGACTGGGTGCCTGGCCGAGCCCGCCCCTCTGAAACTTGCTGCAACCCTCCCTCAAACTGCCTAAGTTTTTAGAAGTGGGCTGTTGTCTGAGTTTAGGCCTAAACCCTAAAAGGAATGGGTTTGGGTGGCTTTGCTGCCTTGGACGGCGTGGGGTGGGAGAAAAGTGTTAGATGGCCCTCCACAATCGGGCCAATGCTGCTTTTCGCACCTCACGAAGCTTTCGAGCTTGTTCCGAAACCTAACCTTCACAGCATCTACGCCCTAGCACAGCAAACCCTAAATCATAAACCCAAAACCCAAAACCCTAAACCCTAAACCCTAAACCTAAACCCTAAACCCTAAACCCGAAACCCTAAACCCTAAACCCTAAACCCTAAACCCTAAACCCTAAACCCTAAACCCTAAACCCTAAACCCTAAACCCTAAACCCTAAACCCTAAACCCTAAACCCTAAACCCTAAACCCTAAACCCTAACCCTAAACCCTAAACCTTTCATGCGAGCCGAGCCACGGATGGCCACGGCAACGAGTGCGCCAGGTTTCTTGGTCACCAATGGGTGGAGGGTTTAGGGTTTAGGGTTTAGGGTTAGGGTTTAAGGGTCTAGGGTTTAGGGTTGAGAGGGAAGTTCCGGGTATGCCTAAGCGCGAAACCTTTAACCTTAAGCCTTTAACCCTAAACTTGTGGTCCGCATGAGTAAGCGGCATACTGGAAACCAGCGGGGTGTAACGACAAAACCCTGGGCAAACATCCATAGCGGAAACTACTGGGAATCGTAGCGGAAACCAATCGGGACACCTAGCCGAAACCAAAGGGGGGGGGGGTGGAACAGAAGGGTGCAACATTAGGCTTTAGGCCTTTCTGCTTCAGGCTGGAGGTTTCATGAGGGGTTTAGTGTTCAGGGTTTTGGTTTTAAGCTTATAGGGCTCAAGGGTTCCGGGTTTGGATGTGGGTTAGGGGTTTGGGCTTCGGGGATAATGATTGGAGGTTTCTCGTGCGAGAAGTGTTTTGTTTGTCGTTGCAGGTTTCGCTGGCTTCCGTTTTGCCCGCGCCTGGTTTCCGTCACGTTTTCCTTGGTTTCTCTTACACTTTCCGGCCTGGTTTTCATTGCGCCCTGCAGTTAGCAGGCTAGTTGCGAAGATCCCCATGCTTGCAACTCCATCCCAACGTCAAGTCAAGTCATGGGTTTTCCCAGTGGAGCTCGGGAGTAAAGCCGACACCGTTCTCTATAGGGTTCTTTAGGGGGGGGGGGGGTTATGGGGGGTGGGAGTAGTGGGGGGAGTATTAGGGAACCTTGGGTTACATACCAGTATTAGGGAACCTTGGGTTACATACCCCACTGAACCCCCTTCCTTTAAGAACCCTATAAAGCAGCTCCTCGATTCGCCTTCCAGCGCTGTTGTCAAGCGCCTTCCTGACCATGCCGAGTAAGCCGCTAAACCCCCAAACTTCTAAAGCCTAAACAACCTAAAACTCTCGAAGCTCCATCCCTCTCTGACACTAAACCCTAAACCCTGGACCCTAGAGCCTAAACCCTAAACCCTAAACCCTCAACCCTTATCCCTCAACCCTGAACCCTCAACCTGAACCCTAAACCCCTAGCCGGAGGCCCGTGGAGAAAAGCCATGACTTGGCGCCGCCGGGTGCGGCGCCCTACCGGGACCGCGGGCGAAGGGAGTGACTCGGGTTAGGGTTTAGGGTTTAGGGTTTAGGGCAGTTGGCATGGGGTGTGGGGTTGTAGAGTTCAGGGTTTGGGGTTTAGGGTTGTAGGGTTGTAGGGTTGTAGGGTTGTAGGGTTGTAGGGTTGTAGGGTTGTAGGGTTGTAGGGTTGTAGGGTTGCAGGGTTGTAGGGTTGTAGGGTTGTATGGTTTGCGGTTTGGGGTTTGGGGTTTAGGGTTTAGGGTTAAGGTTTAGGAGGTTTGCGAATTTGAGGGCCCTGGGGCTTTAGGGGTTTTAGGTTCTATGGCCTCAGGAGTTTTCGGGCAGGCTTTTGGGTTTAGGGGTTTTGGGGTTTGGGTTTTCGGGCTTCAGACGTTTACAACTGCAACAGCCCAACGAAGTTCTGAAGCTCCTCGCTCTTCCCTCTCAAAAGAAGGTTTACGGCAGGTTTAGGGTTTAGGGTTTAGGGTTTAGGGTTTTGGGTTTAGGGTTTAGGGTTTAGGGTTTAGGGTAAACCCTAAAGATGACTAGCCGACAGGTCTCGCCTGCTAAACCCAAAACCAAGGCCCAACGCGTGCAGGGTACCCGAAACTCCAGTCTAAAGCCGTCAAAACCAACACATCTCGAAACCCTAAACCCTAAACCCCAAACCCGAAACCCTAAACTCGTACTTACAACTCCAAACCCCAAACCCTTCTCACGAAGATTGTGGTTGGTGGATTTGCCCTTTCAACCCCACATTGTAAAGCCTGATCCCTGTCAAAATGCCTTTTCGTACATATCGATAAGTACGAAAGGAAGTAAAAACTAAGATGCATATTTCTATACACACCCATATATACATACACATATATATATATATATATGTATAGATTTAGGCTGCCGCTGGCCTCTTGGGCATGCTGGCCCTCTGTTCGCCGGCCTTCTTGCTGGGACAGGCCGCGCGGATTTTGGGGTGTAGGGTTTAGGGTTTAGGCTTTAGGCTTTAGGGTGTTTTTGTTCAGAGAGTTCATGGTTGTCAGGGTCTCGGGAGTTCTGAGAAACCCTCACTTTGGGGTCAGTGGTCCCTAACCCTGCCCCACGCCAAAATCTGAGCTGATGTCGTGTCCTGCAGGTTAACTCAAAACCAGACATCTCTGGCTCACTTGCGTCCGCCAACACGTCAATTCATGCCGAGCCCCCAAGCCCTAAACCCCAGCCCCAAACCCTAAAACCCCTGAAACCCCTAAACCCTACTAAACCTTACTAAACTAAACCCTAAACCCTAAACCCTAAACCCTAAACCCTAAAGCCTAAACCCTAAACCCTAAACCCGAAACCCACTCTGCAAGAAACCGCTACCCCAGGCACCTAGAGCTGACTCCGCCGAGCCCTGGGGCGCATGGGCACCCGGACCGAAGGCGGGACCCTAAACCTAGCCCTAAACCCTAAACCCTAAACCCTAAACCCTAAACCCTAGACCCTAAACCCTAAACCCTAAACCCTAAGCCCTAAGCCCTAAGCCCTAAGCCCTAAGCCCTAAGCCCTAAGCCCTAAGCCCTAAACCCTAAACCCTAAACCCTAAACCCTAAACCCTAAACCCTAAACCTAAACCCAAAACGCTAACCCCTAGACCCTGAACCCGAAACCCTAAACCCGAAACCTGTGTAGGGTTTAGGGAGCTCGCGGTTCTAGGGGGCTTTAGGGTTTATGGGGCTTGGGGTTGATCATGGGGGTTTCGGGGTGTACGTGAGAGTTTAGGGGTTTTGGTCGTTTGGGTTTAGGGCCTAGAGTTTAGGGTTTAGGGTTTAGGGTTTATGATTTGCAAGATGCTCTTGGGGCTTGAAGGTGGCACGAAGGAAACTTAATGAGAGCTGAGGTGCTGGCGGTCAGGAAGCAAGCGTTGACCTGTCGGCTTGTTGAAAGTATGCGTCTCGCGATGTTGGGGTGAAGTTGCTCTCGGCTTCTTCGAGGCCTTGCAGAGGTGCTGTGCTCCGATGATGGACCACTTTGCGCACGGCCTGAGCGTCCCAGATGCCTCTTTCCAGAGGCTGCGGCCGCGAAGAGGGCATCAAGAAAGGATTATGAGAGCTGAGGTGCAGCAGGCAATGAGACAGCATGCGTTGGTCTGTTGCGTCTTGCGATGTTGGGGTGAAGTTGCTCTCGGCTTCTTCGAGGTCTTGCAGAGGTGCCGTGCTCCGATGATGGACCATTTTGCGCACGGCCTGAGCGTCCCAGATGCCTCTTTCCAGAGACTGCGGCCGCGAAGAGGGCATCAAGAAAGGATTATGAGAGCTGAGGTGCAGCAGGCAATGAGAAAGCATGCGTTGGTCTGTTGCGACTTGCGATGTTGGGGTGAAGTTGCTCTCGGCTTCTTCGAGGCCTTGCAGAGGTGCTGTGCTCCGATGATGGACCATTTTGCGCACGGCCTGAGCGTCCCAGATGCCTCTTTCCAGAGGCTGCGGCCGCGAAGAGGGCATCAAGAAAGGATTATGAGAGCTGAGGTGCAGCAGGCAATGAGAAAGCATGCGTTGGTCTGATGCGTCTTGCGATGTTGGGGTGAAGTTGCTCTCGGCTTCTTCGAGGCCTTGCAGAGGTGCTGTGCTCCGATGATGGACCATTTTGCGCACGGCCTGAGCGTCCCAGATGCCTCTTTCCAGAGGCTGCGGCCGCGAAGAGGGCATCAAGAAAGGATTATGAGAGCTGAGGTGCAGCAGGCAATGAGAAAGCATGCGTCGGTCTGTTGCGTCTTGCGATGTTGGGGTCTCGGCTTCTTGGAGGCCTTGCAGAGGTGCTGTGCTCCGATGATGGACCATTTTGCGCACGGCCTGAGCGTCCCAGATGCCTCTTTCCAGAGGCTGCGGCCGCGAAGAGGGCATCAAGAAAGGATTATGAGAGCTGAGGTGCAGCAGGCAATGAGAAAGCATGCGTTGGTCTGTTGCGTCTTGCGATGTTGGGGTGAAGTTGCTCTCGGCTTCTTCGAGGCCTTGCAGAGGTGCTGTGCTCCGATGATGGACCATTTTGCGCACGGCCTGAGCGTCCCAGATGCCTCTTTCCAGAGGCTGCGGCCGCGAAGAGGGCATCAAGAAAGGATTATGAGAGCTGAGGTGCAGCAGGCAATGAGAAAGCATGCGTTGGTCTGTTGCGTCTTGCGATGTTGGGGTGAAGTTGCTCTCGGCTTCTTCGAGGCCTTGCAGAGGTGCTGTGCTCCGATGATGGACCATTTTGCGCACGGCCTGAGCGTCCCAGATGCCTCTTTCCAGAGGCTGCGGCCGCGAAGAGGGCATCAAGGCCTGAAAGGAGGCTTCATTATGAGAGCTGAGGTGCAGCAGGCAATGAGAAAGCATGCGTTGGTCTGTTGCGTCTTGCGATGTTGGGGTGAAGTTGCTCTCGGCTTCTTCGAGGCCTTGCAGAGGTGCTGTGCTCCGATGATGGACCATTTTGCGCACGGCCTGAGCGTCCCAGATGCCTCTTTCCAGAGGCTGCGGCCGCGAAGAGGGCATCAAGAAAGGATTATGAGAGCTGAGGTGCAGCAGGCAATGAGAAAGCATGCGTTGGTCTGTTGCGTCTTGCGATGTTGGGGTGAAGTTGCTCTCGGCTTCTTCGAGGCCTTGCAGAGGTGCTGTGCTCCGATGATGGACCATTTTGCGCACGGCCTGAGCGTCCCAGATGCCTCTTTCCAGAGGCTGCGGCCGCGAAGAGGGCATCAAGAAAGGATTATGAGAGCTGAGGTGCAGCAGGCAATGAGAAAGCATGCGTTGGTCTGTTGCATCTTGCGATGTTGGGGTGAAGTTGCTCTCGGCTTCTTCGAGGCCTTGCAGAGGTGCTGTGCTCCGATGATGGACCATTTTGCGCACGGCCTGAGCGTCCCAGATGCCTCTTTCCAGAGGCTGCGGCCGCGAAGAGGGCATCAAGAAAGGATTATGAGAGCTGAGGTGCAGCAGGCAATGAGAAAGCATGCGTTGGTCGGTTGCGTCTTGCGATGTTGGGGTGAAGTTGCTCTCGGCTTCTTCGAGGCCTTGCAGAGCTGCTGTGCTCCGATGATGGACCATTTTGCGCACGGCCTGAGCGTCCCAGATGCCTCTTTCCAGAGGCTGCGGCCGCGAAGAGGGCATCAAGAAAGGATTATGAGAGCTGAGGTGCAGCAGGCAATGAGAAAGCATGCGTTGGTCTGTTGCGTCTTGCGATGTTGGGGTGAAGTTGCTCTCGGCTTCTTCGAGGCCTTGCAGAGCTGCTGTGCTCCGATGATGGACCATTTTGCGCACGGCCTGAGCGTCCCAGATGCCTCTTTCCAGAGGCTGCGGCCGCGAAGAGGGCATCAAGAAAGGATTATGAGAGCTGAGGTGCAGCAGGCGATTCACCTGCACGAGGTACCCTTTTCCAATTGTTCCTGGCTTGTCATGGCCCTGTCGACAGAAACATCAGCACGCATGACCTCTGGGAACTCACCGAGAATCACCTTTTCGTCACATTAATGTCATATTTATCCGCTCGGGAGGCTCATTTCCCAGAGCTTGAGCTTGATCCCTGGACGTTTGCCTTTGACCACGCTGCCCGCACTTCCTAACTGCAGCCAGAAGGATCTGAACCTCCCACCGTTGCTTGTAGTTCCTAAAGTCTAGATCCTCAACCCGAAACCCGAAACCCTTTAAACCCTAACCTAAAGTCTAGACCCTAAACCTTCGTGAGATTCTCAGGCGAAAGTGCTGCTCCCCGCATTGGCCGGGGGCCTTGGCCATGTGGGGTAGATATTTTCAGCCTTGGGATTGGGGATTCCAGGTTCAGAGTTCTAGAAACTTTGGGTTTAGGGTTTAGGGTTGAGGGTTTAGGGTTCAGGGTTTAGGGTTTAGGGTTTAGGGTTTCGGGTCCACACACAACGGAGGGGTGGAGCTGTTGGAATCAGGGCTCTGAGGGCTTATCTGAGCCCGTTTAAGTTTAAGCCCCAAACCCTGAACCCTGGCAAACCCTAAACCCTAAACCCTAAACCCTCAACCCTCAACCCTAAACCCTAAACCCTAAACCCCGAAACCCGAAGCCTTCAGCCCCAAACCCCAAACCCCATAGCCCCGAGGATCAGAAACCCAGAGCCCAAGAGTCCCCCAACAAAACCCAATGCCTTGGCATGGGCTTACTTGGAGGTTCGGGGTACTTATAACCCAATTACAACTGCAGTTATAAGTCGCCATATAGTATATAGGCCCCTTAAGTACCCTAAGTGGGTTAGAATTGGGTGATAAGTGCGGTTATAGTTGGGTTCCTGAGTACCATGAACTTCCAAGTAGGGTCACCCGAGAATCCCAAACCCGAAACCCCCAACTCGAGGCCAAAAGGGGCTACTGGGCTTCGGGCTGGCGGCCCTATTCTACGAGCCCTGAGCCCTACACCTAAACCCCAAACCCTACCTGAACCCTAAACTCGACACCCTAAACCCTAAACCCTAAACCTTGCTAAGCCCTAAGCCCTAAGCCCGAAGCCCTAAACCCTAAACCCTAAACCCTAAACCCTAAACCCTAAACCCTAAACCCTATGGCCAGGCCGGGTCGATGGCGCCGGCACCCTGCGAGGTGCTCGGGTTTTCTGGGCATTCGAATCTCCAAGCTTCCCAGGTTTGGGGTTTAGGGTTTAGGGTTTAGGGTTTAGGGTTTAGGGTTTGGGGTTTATGGTTTAGGGTTTGGGGTTGAGGGTTTAGGGTTCGGGGTTTGGGGTTCAGGGGTTAGGGTTATCAGTGAGTTTGGAGGTTTTCGGGCTTGAGGCTCTGGCTTCCTCCCCCAGCCCTGGACCCTAAAGCCCCCGTAGGGCGTAGGGTTTAGGGTTTAGGGTTTAGGGTTTCGGGTTTAGGGTTTAGGCTTTAGGCCCTCGGACGTTCGCTTATGTTGGGGGTGCTTCCAGAACGCGAAACCCTGAATCCTGAAGCCCAAAGCTCTAAACTGAAAACCCTAAGCTCCAAACCGTGCACCCTCAATCCCTAGACCACAAACCCGAAACTCTGGAGCCATTGAGCCTGAAAAGCCCTTGACCTCCAAACGTCTGTAATGAGCCGCCGAGACCAAGGCGAATTTATCTAGACCCCAAATCCCCACCCCCTAAACCCCTATAGACCCGCGACCCCTAACCCCCCACCCTCGAAACCCTGACCCCCCAAAAAGCCTATATAAGCCCTAAGCCCTAAACCCTAACCCCGAGACCCAAAGCCCTAAACCCTAAAACCTCGACCCCAAGCCCCAGGCCATAAACTCTCAACCACGTATGCCCTAAACCCTGAAACCCCTAAAGCCCACTAAACCCTGAACCTTAACCCTAAACGCAAAACCCTAAACCCTTAAACCCTCTAGACCCTAAGCCGCAAACCCCCCAAACCCCAAACCCCAAACCCCAAATCGCAAACCCTAAACCGCAAACCCTAAACCCTAAACCTAAACCCTAAACCCTAAACCCTAAACCCAAAACCCTAAACCCTAAACCCTATAAGCCCCTAAACCCTAAACCTTAACCCCTAAGCTTTGATGTCTCCAGCCAGGCTGCCGGTCTGCCAGCCGAGGTTGTGTCGGTGGGCGCCGGCTCGGTGCGGCTTCCAGTTGCGGGGCATTGGCTTGGGGTTTGGGGTTAGGGCATGGGGTTTGGGGTTTGGGGTTTGGTGTTTGGTGTTTGGGGTCTGGGGTTTAGGGTTTAGGGTTTAGGGTTTCGGGTTTGGGGTTTGGTGTTTGGTGTTTGTGGTCTGGGGTTTAGGGTTTAGGGTTCAGGGTTTGGGGTTAAGGGGCTCCGGCTTTCGGGTTTCAGGTTCACATGTTAGGGGGTGTTTAGAGGCTGGCTCTTTCAGCCTTTGCGCCATGACACAGGGCTTTGTATTCCAGGCAGTTTCCTTCTCAAACGTCAGAAAAGTTCTCTAGCTACCTACACCCTTTTCGTCCCCCCTATAATTATAAACGCTTCCTGGGCCCCACGCCTCTAGGGTTGGAACCATGGGCCCTTAGAATGGTCCCTTGCCCTTGCCTAAAAGGGGTTTAAAGGGATCCGAAGTATGGGCCCTTGTTATGTCTAGTGTATATAAGGATAATATCACAGGGGACCCAAATTAAGGGCCCATACTTCGGATCGCCTAGCCCCTGACCGGCCCCCCTCAAGCGATTTTGGCGGCTGTTGCCAGGGGTGGGGCGTGTGGGCGAGGGTTGTAGGGAGAGATCCTGGCCTGCTTGTTCAAAGACGCCTCTCAGCTTCTCGACCAGGGTTCGGAAGCGAACTTCGTGGATATGGTGGTTCAGGGGCAAAATACCCCTAAAACAACAACCCTAAACCCTGAACCCTGAACCCTGAACCCTAAACCCTAAACCCTAAACCCTAAACCCTAAACCCTAAACCCTAAACCCCAGGGCTGCCATGAGGAGTCTACATGGAGGTCGACCGACATGCCCTCGAATCCCGGTCGTGTGAGAGCCAGGTGCTCCTTAGGGGCCGAGTGGTTTTGGTTTTGGGGTTTGGGGTTTGGGGTTTAGGGTTTAGGGTTTAGGGTTTAGGGTTTAGGGCTTCAGGGAAGGGATCCCGGCATCAAGAGAAGCCTGAAGAGGAGAATGCTTTTTCTTCGCTCAGGTCGTCTTCTTCATTGTCTTGCTGCTGTCGAGCATGGTGTTTGGCGCCTTGCTCAGTCACAAGCGGAAAGGTTTTGACTTTCATGAGGTTTGGCAAGAGTAGAGTAAGCCACGAACTCTCGCAACCCTAAACCCGAAAGCCCAAGCCTCAACCCAAATGCTGAAACCTTTCGCTCCCACAGCATTGCTCTGTGCATAAGGGCTGTGTATTGGCAGTTGGTCCCATTTGGTCCCTTTTTGTGGGCACACGGGCAGTTCTCTACTGTATGGTGCCTTTTTTGTGGGTACCCGGAATATAAGGCCCGGTATGAAAGTTGGAATCCCGCAAAGGGCTGGAATTTCGTGTACGGCGGCCCCCCAGCCAGTCTCCCATGGATAGGGTTTAGGGTACACCTAACACAAGTCCCATAACACTGTAAGCCTGAGCAGCTTGTGGAGAACCTCATGCGGCCCAGGCCGTAGTATCGCGGGATTCCTCGACAACTTGGACAACGTGGAGTGAGCTAGATTGTGCAGGTAGAAAGGGGCTCGGTGGAAAAACGTGGTGTGTCTGTGTGTTGCATCGCATCCAACTACTCACTCTCGGGGGCTATCCAGCGTTTCGGGACTTCGTGGACCTCGGCCTAATAGCCAGTTTGTTAATGCACAATAGCAGTGTGGTAACTTAACCCTAAACCCTAAACCCTAAACCCTAAACCCTAAACCCTAAACCCTAAACCCTAAACCCTAAACCCTACCCTAAACCGTTTTCTTGCCACCAGCCCAGAGTCGCTGCCGTGAACCGAGGCCAAGGCAACCCTCAACCCACTCTGAGACCTTTAACCCCGAGAGTGCTCCCCCCGCCCTAAAGGGGTTCTCCCCTTTTGGGGGCCAAAGTTTAGGGTTTAGGGTTTAGGGTTTAGGGTTTAGGGTTTAGGGCTGAGGTCGTTTAGGGTTGTGGGCTTCCTGTTTTGTCAGCAGTCCTGGTCAAGTTTAGGGTTTAGGCAGTGGTAGGACGGGAGGATCTTTTGCATGTGGGTGGGGATGCTGAACCAGCTTGTGCCGTAAGTGGCGAGACTTGAAAAACGGCCAAAAAAAGGACATGTCTGTGACAGGGGTGGGGGGCATGGTGCTCGTGCTGTTATTTACTGCTCGAGTTGCACAGCCGTTGTCTTTAGCCTTATGTTCTAGATCTTCGCCCTATGCCTCAGCATGGCAAGACGAAGAATCCAAACAAACTGGACGCACGGCAACATTTTGGAGCAATGTGGCGTGGGATAGTATTCCTGAAGCTCCGATTTCCGACCAAACCGGTAAACCCGAGACGCTAAACCCCAATAACCCTTGAGAAAGCAACCTCGGCTTGTGGTGTCGGCACATCTTTCCGACCGGGAATGCACAGCCCAAGCAGTGAACTTCCCTAAGCTCTGAGCCTTCTTGCCTTGCCTCAATGGCTTGAGGGTTTTCTGATTTTCTGAAGCCTTAAACCTTCAAGCCCTCAACTTTAGGCCCTAAACCCTAAACCCTAAACCCTCAACCCTCAACCCTAAACCCTAAACCCTCAACCCTAAACCCTAAACCCTAAACCCTAAACCCTAAACCCTAAACCCTAAACCCTAAACCCTAAACCCTAAACCCTGCAGCGTGGCTGAGGATGACTCCGATGTCTTCCTGTCTCGAGCCTCCATGAATCGGTTCCCGGACCATGCGGCGAACACGCTCTTTTTCACAGCGGCCCTGCGCAAACGAGTTTAGGGTTTAGGGTTTGGGGTTTAGGGTTTAGGGTTTAGGGTTGAGGGTTTAGGGTTTAGGGTTTAGGGGAGAGCCAACGGGGGCATGACGTGAAGCAGGTTTCATAATACTGTTGTTGGTGAGTGTTTTTTGTAAAGGTTCCGTTTTGATATTGGCGGGTGTATATAGTTGGTGCCCTCTTGGGGATACAGGGAATATAAACCCTGCGGTTTAGAGTTGAAGGTGGTTAGAACTTGAAGCAGGGAGTGGCAGCGGCAGGACTGTTCGTCTTCAGTCCTGAATCCAGGGGATTGTGAAACCGAATTCTCTGAGCCTGTGGGTGCTATGGATGTCGCAATGTCTACAGTAGCCCCAAATGAGAGAGAAAACCCTACAAAAGCCACGAACACTGCAAAACTCACAGGCTCTAAAGCTTGAATCAAAAACTTAACTAAGCCCAAAACCCTAAACCCTAACCCCAAACCCTAAACCCAAAACCGCAAACCTTCAAGACCCGGATAAATAGAAATAGTATGTGACATCAGTCTGAACTTAAAAAAGTTGTTTGTCGGAACAAGCTGGCACCACACAGCACCTCGTCCCCAAACAAAATTTCAAAAACCATCTAAGTAGGTTGATCCAAAGCGCCCCTGGCTGCAAATACTTGAACAGGGGCCCTAAACCCTAAACCCTAAACCCTAAACCCTAAACCCTAAACCCTAAACCCTAAACCCTAAACCCTAAACCCTAAACCCTAAACCCTAAACCCTAAACCCTAAACCCTAAACCCTAAACCCAAAACCCAACATTTCAACTTAAGCAAGGCTCCAAAGGCCCTAAGAGGCACCACAAGGTCAGCCCCAAGCCGCCCATCCAGCCCCAAAGCAAAAATCACCAAACTTTCGCCCAAAACTTTCGCCCCAAAACTTTCGACAACAAACTTTCGCCCCAAAACTTTCGGACACAAAAAAGCCCGAATACAATTTCTACCAAAAAACTTTCACCCCAAACTCCGGACAAGAAATCCTACACAATGTCTACAAACCCCAACCCATGAGGCGACCAGCTTCGACTTCGATTCCCGGGCCGCCGCCCCTGAAGAGGGCAAGGGCCCGAACTTCATGCGCCTCCACGAGATTGGGCGGAGGCTGCGACCCTAAACCCTAAACCCTAAACCCTAAACCCTAAACCCTAAACCCTAAACCCTAAACCCTAAACCCTAAACCCTAAACCCTAAACCCTAAACCCTAAACCCTAAACCCTAAACCCTAAACCCTAAACCCTAAACCCTAAACCCTAAACCCTAAACCCTTAAGGGTTCAGGGAGCTGCGGCTTCTTCTCCAAGCTTCCCACCTTGAAACCTCAAGCAGCATTGGGGTTTAGGGTTTAGGGTTTAGGTTTTAGGGCATAGGCTATAGGGTACAGAGTTTAGGTTTAGGTGGTTACGGGTAAGGGATGTAGGGGTTTAAGATTTAGGAAAAAGCGCGCGCAGGGACTGCGAGATCGTGAAGTATCCGGAGATCCCGAACTTGACGCGGAAGTCCCAGACCTACAGCATCTCCTTCGGGTGCCTCGCTGCATGCAGGGTTTTTGCGTTTTCAGCCTAAGCTCAACAAGCCCTAAACCCTACTTGCCCTACCTCATAAACCCAAACCCTGAAGCTTCAGCCCTAAACCCTACCCCCTAAAAGACCCAAACCCTACACCTCAACCCTAAGCCCTGTAGTCCAAAACCAGGCGAAGGATCTGGGAGCGGAAGGAGTTCAGGGCTCTCAGGTTGCTGGGCTCGAGCCGAAGCCCAAAATCCCCTTGAAAGCCCTAAAACCCTAAAACCCATATCTCAAAGCCCCCAAAACCTCAAATTAAAGCCGGGGCCCTTGCACCCGTGAAGTGTGAGCACTGATGGAGCTGCACTTACCTAAGCCTTAAACCCTAAGCCCCTCATTCCCGAAGCCCTTGAGGGCTTAGGGCTTTCTCCTCCCAAGCCACACCCCTTGGGCAGCTGTCTCGCAGCAATTTGAGAAAGACCCTGAACGCTTTGCCCTTGCACATCGCGTGGTGCAGTGACGCGAAGGTTGGGGTTGTGGCGCTGGAGGTTGTGCTGTACGTCTAAGCCCTGGAGTGCTGCCTTGAAAGCCTAAAGCCCTAAAGCCCTGAACAACACTAAACCCTGAACCCTTCACCCTTCACCCTAAACCCTAAACCCTACTACCCCAACACCGTAGTATGCTAAACCCCCAGCCCCAAACCCCTCACCCGACGCCTCGCCTCTGGCCTGGGGAGGCCAAAGCAGTCCACCGACTGGGAGGTCAACAAGTTTGTTATGGCCCAGTGCCTCGGCACCAGCAAGGCGTAGCGTTTGGGGTGGAGGGGTTGTTGGGGTGGTTAGTTTAAGGGTTGTTTAGGGGTTTTGGTGGGGTTTTTAGGGTTGTTAGGTTGTGGGTTCTTAGGGCTTAGGATGTTAGGTTTGCAGCGCCTCGGTTGAGAGCTTCAGGTTCCACCCAAAGCCCCCCTCATTCAAAGCCCCAAGCACGCCAAAAACCCGATGCCAAAAACCCTAAGCCAAGCCCTGAAAGCCCTAAACCCTAAACCCTAAACCCTAAACCCTAAACCCTAAACCCTAAACCCTACACCCTACACTCCCTAAACCCTAAACCCTAAACCCTCAAGCCCCAAGGCCCTAAACCCTCAAGCCCAAAGGCCTTGAGTCCGACACCCTAAGCCCAAAAGCCCTGAACCCTACACCCTACACTCCCTAAACCCTAAACCCTAAACCCTAAACCCTAAACCCTAAAGCCTAAACCCTAAACCCCAAACCCGAAACCCTAAACCCTAAACCCTAAACCCTGAATCCTGAAATCCTGAATCCTGAACCCTAAACTAAACCCTAAACCTAAAGCCCCAAAGCCTAGGAGGAAAGCCCCAAAGCCTAGGAGGAAAGCCACCACGAACTCGGGACCAAAGCCAGCTCCTGACTATGGGATGCGCTCGACCTACCAGGTAGGTTGAGGGTTTGGGGTGTGGGGTTTAGGGTTTAGGGTTTAGGGTTTTGGGATGTGGTTTGGGGTTTAGGGTTTGGCGTTGAGGGTTTGGGGTTTACGGTTCAATGTTGGAGTTTCAGGTTTGGGGTTTAGGGTTTAGAGTAGTCGGGGATGTGTTTCCATGTCTGAAGTTTGGTGTTTGAGCGAAGGGTTTGGGGGTGTTTTAAGGGCTTCAGGAGTTCAGGTTTCAGGAGTTTAGGGTCGCGCCCTAAACGCAAACCAAACCCCAAACCCCCAAACCCCCCAAACTCCAAACCCCCAAACCCCCAAACCTCCAAACCCCCAAACCCCCAAACCTTTAAACCCCCAAACCCCCAAACCCCCAAACCCCCAAACCCCCAAACCTCCAAACCCCTAAACCCCCAAACCCCCAAACCTCCAAACCCCTAAACCCCCAAACCCCCAAACCCCTGAACTCAACTCCAAACCCCTCAACCCCAAACCCTAAACCCTAAACCCTAAACCCCAAAGCCCCAAACCCCTAAGCCCCTAAGCCCCAAACCCCAAGCCCCAAACCCCTAAACCCCAAACCCCTAAACTCCAAACTCAAAACTCCCAAACCCCCAAACTCCTCTCCAGGACCTGTCCGCCCCACGCAGCAAGTCGGACCTGGAGAGATCAAGACCGGCCGCCCTGGAAGGCAAAGACGCCCCCTCCTCCCCCTAAAACCCCTAAAACCCAAAACCCAAAACCCAAAACCCTCAACCCTAAACCCGAAGCCCTAGACCCCTAATCCCCTAAATCCCCCGAAATCCCCGAAATCCCCGAAATCCTCCAAATAAACCCTATCAACCCTATGAACCAGGAGTCATCTTGTATGTTTCGGTTTCGCGGAGCCCAGGTTCTTTTGGTTGTGAGCCCTAAGCCCTAGTCCCAAACCCTAAACCCTAATCCCCAAACCCAAAACCCTAGACCCTAAACCTTAAACCCTGAACCCTAAACCCTAAACCCTAAACCCTAAACCCTAAACCCTAAACCCTAAACCCTAAACCCTAAACCCTAAACCCTAAACCCTTCAAGGGCTCAGGGTTGGAAGGGTTTGGGTTCGGCGCGCGTCGCCCCGCTCCTGAGTCTGGCAGATCTGATGATGGCAGCACCCTGGACGCTGAACCACCCTAAACCATAAGCCCTACGCTTTAGGGGTTTAGGGTTTAGGGTTTGGGGTTTGGGGTTTAGGGTTTAGGGTTAAACTTGAGCCCCAAACCTTCTCAAAGCCCTGGAGCTACCAACCAAAGCCCAACACCCCCTAACACCCCACGACCCTGAACCCTAAACCCTAAGCCCTAAACCCTAAACTAAGTGAGGGGTCGCTTCCGTCGAGCGACAGACCCCGAACGCTCGGCCGAGGGCCTTACAGCCCGAGCGCCCAAGCGAAAAGAGAAACGGAAAGGTGAGGGTTAAGCCTCACCGTCTGTCCTGGACAGGCCAACGGACATCGGCCTTTTTTACGACAACGTCAGTACTCGGCTAAGGGATGGCCGGCACCCAGACCACCTTTAGCGTAGCTAAAGTATAACCCCAAATCGTAACCCTTTGCCTCTGGAGGTCGGTTCAGGGTTTTGGGTTCAGGGTTTGTCGGGCCCCCCCCCCCCGGGGGTGCCCTGGTCCCTGGTAGCTGGATTCCTGGACCAGGAGGCTGGCCAGGGGTCCAGGCAGGCTGGTTGCTCAATTTCCTGATTTTGGGTTCTTCACGGATTTTCTTGGCCCCCCGGGCCAAGGGCCCCCGGCCCAAGGGCCCCTCCGGCCAAGGGCTCCCCGGAAGAGCCCCGCCAGCCAAGTCCCCCCCCTCCAGAGCGCCTGAACAAGGGCCTCCAGGACCAAGAAACTTCTGAGGGCCCCCAGACCAACGCCCCCCCCAGGGCCAAGGGCTGAGCCAAGAGCCACCAAAAGGCTTCAAAAGCTTCAAAAGGCCCACTAAAGAAGGGGGACCACAAGATTTGTCCGTGCCCACAATGAAAAATGCGATTTTTGAATATAAACGATGGTTTTAGGCACCCCTGCCCGCAATGAAAAATGTTCTCTTTGGTACTGGAATCGATGACTCCCCCAAATCAGCAAGGACCTCTACGGGCCCTGACGTGCCGAAGGCTCGAAAAGGACCGAGGCCACCCCGAACCCCAGCCTAACACCGCAAAACCCTACGGCCTTCAGCAAATAAGGGCCTCTACGGGCCCTAACGTGCCGAAGGCCCGAAAAGGGCCGAGGCTACCCCCAACCCCAGCTTAAACCCTCACACCGCAAAACCCTGCGAAGGCCTTCAAGCAAATAAGGGCCTCTACGGGCCCGAACTTGCCGAAGGCCCGAAAAGGGCCGAGGCTACCCCGAACCCGAGCTTAAACCCTAGCGATTGAAATACTCATTGGCGAAAAACTCATTAATAGGTTCCCTGACCTTTAAATGAATGAAGCCTCTCCGGCCCCTGACACGCCGAAGGTCCGAACAAGGCCCCGAGAGACCCCAAGAGCCACCAAAATGCTTCAAAAGGCTTCAAAAGGCACCCGAAAAGAAGGGGGACCCCAGGATGCCCGTACCCGCAATGAAAAATGCGATTTTTTGGTAGTGAAACCGATGCTTAATTGGGCCCTTAAAGAAGGGGAATCCAGGAGCAGGCACAAAGGGTTTCCCTGACCTTCAAATAAATAAGGGCCTCTACGGGCCCTGACACGCCGAAGGCCCGAAAAGGGCCGAGGCTACCCCCAACCCCAGCTTAAACCCTAACAGCGCAACTTTAAAAACATCAAAGCAAGCATCGGGGCACAAGAAAGTAAATTCCATAAACCCTAAACCCTAATAGAGTATAGTTTGGGCGGCCGGGGTGGGTTGACGGGCAACGCGAGCGCGCGGCCCGGGGTGTTTCACACCCGAGCGCGCGCCCTCCCCTGACACACCCTAAACCCTAAACCCTAAACCCTAAACCCTAAACCCTAAACCCTAAACCCTAAACCCTAAACCCTGAACCCTATATGGACCCGAGAATGCGGCGCCCTCACCCTTTCAACCCATAAGCTTGAGAATCCCGAACACCCGAAACCTGAACCGCCAAATCCAAATTCCCTACAGCCCTTAACAAAGGCCCTCCTTTCATATCCCCCCTTAAGCCCTAAACCCTAAACCCTAAACCCTAAACCCTGAACCCTAAACCCTAAACCCGGACCCCCTGCCGGTGGCCGAAGCCGCACGGATGTGAACACGCACGACGTGGAGGATCTCCGGCTGCAGCTACATGCCGCGCGGGAGGAGATCAAACTCCTCCACACGAACTCGCAGATCTTGGAGGCAGCCGAGGCGATGGTGGCAGCTGAGCAGCCAAAGACCACGGACCGCGAGCACCGGCGCACCAGGCGCGTGCCTTTCGCTCCCTCCCAATAAACTGGCTACACCGCACATAGACCCGATTCGTTTTCAAAGCCTGGACAGACTGATTGCCCCTAGGAAATGGCTTCCCACGATCCGAAAAGTAAAAGCGGTACACAATACAGGTTTTCCAAGCGATCATTACCTCCTTCTTACAGAGCTCAGCGTCCGTTTAGGGGCACGTAGGCAGAGGCAACCCAGACCCCCCCCCCTGGAGAATTGTCCGCATGGATGGAAGCAGCGTTGTATTTATTGGTGGTAGACCCTATCCCCCCCACAGTTACATTCTGCTTTGACAGTAAGTGGGTGGAAGGTATGGTTACAGGAGCATTTCGCCCGACTAGGCACAAGGCTATGGTCTACACCGCCAAACGAATTTATTCCCTACTAAAGGCCAGGACAACAGTCAAATGGACCTGGGTTAAAGGCCACTCAGGTCACGAATACAATGACATAGCGGACGCGCTGGCAGGACAGGCAAAACAAGATGGAGTACGGATAGGTGGCCGCTCTGAACAGCACCTCTACCTCACCCCTACCAACCTCCCTTTGGCCGACGCAAACGCCTCCCTCCCCATCATCAAAAACGCGCCGGACCGCATTTCACAGGCCCTACGGACGGCGGCGGAGAATACATTCGCTAAACTGCCGGTTAAACCGAGGACGTGCTGGATCACCCCAGCACTTGCAGCGGAAATCGAAGCAGTAAAGCAGCGTAGACTACATGGAGACCCTCAGGCCACTCAGGAATACAAAAGGCTCAAAACACAGGCTCGCAAAGTAAAACGCCACTGGCTAAGGGATCAGGTCCTGCAATCCCATAATCAGGGGGCGCAAGCGCTTTGGCGGAACCTCCGTAAAATGAAAACGGGCTTTAGAGAAAGAAAATCCAGGCTTAAAAAGGAAGGTCGGCCGGTACCTTGGGATAAACAGCATGAGGCTTTCGCAGACCACCTCGCCAATGTGCAATGGGGTCCCACCACGGTCACGGCAGAAGAAAGGGAATTGTTACGGGAGTCACCCCCTTTACACGCGCCCTCGGCTACACCGCCCTTACCCTTCACGATGATAGAACTCTCTGACGTTATCAAGCAACTGCGCAAGGCTAAAGCGCCAGGTCCGGATAATATTCGCAATGAGTTGGTGCTACTTCTGGATTACATAGGGGAACAACAGCTATTGGAAATGTTCAACGAATGCTTCAGTAGCGCCACGGTTCCCCAAGAGTGGAAAGAGGCTCTTATCGTTAGTATTTATAAAGGCAAAGGCTCAGATTCAGACCCTGCTAACTATAGGCCAATTTCCTTACTAAACACCTTCTATAAAATCTACGCGGCATTACTTCAAAAAAGACTTGCTAAAGCGCACGACCATCAGCTCCGGAGCACGCAATTTGGTTTTAGGGCTAATAGATCCACGCAACAACCACTGTTCGTATTACGCAGATTGCAAGACCTAGCGCTGAAAACAGGCTCTCCCTTTCAGCTGCTATTCCTAGATTGGAGAATGGCGTTTGACAAAGTAGATCATGATTCTATGATTATCGCATTGGAGCGCCTTGGAGTACACCGCCAATACGTAGACATTATCAGAGATCTCTATACCAACCAAACATTCTATACGCGAGGGCCCTTCGGGGACATCGCCAAGGCTGCACCTCACACCGGTATTCGGCAAGGCTGCCCCCTAAGCCCCTACTTATTTATTATGGTTATGACAGTACTTTTCTTCGATGTAGACCACAGGCTCCGTACACATGGCGCTCCCACTAACTCATGGTCGGTAGGCAAGCCAGTATACGACCTGGAATACGCCGATGACACGCTCCTCATTTCGGTTACAAAGCCACAAATGAACGACATACTTAAGGCTATTGAAGTAGAAGCCACCCTATACGGGATGCTGCTGAACAAGGAAAAAACAGTCTCACTGGAGTACAAAGCCGACGCTCCCCAGGTCCTATATTTTGCCGATGGCTCCCCGGTCCCCATAACCACTGACGCTAAATATTTAGGCTCACAGGTTACATGGGAAAAGGCCACTAAGCACGCCATAGAAGCTCGTAAAGTCAAAGCGCACACCTCCTACATCAAGCTGCGCATTTCTGGAGGTCGCGCATCAATTCTAAAACTAAAACTAGAATCTTCCATGCCACAGTCTTGCCTACTTTACTGTACGGATTGGATACGCTTACTCTGGAAATTAAGCACCTAAAGACCATAGATGCCTGGTACCACAGATATCTTCGTAGAGCACTAGGAGTTAAGGATTCATATTATTCACACATCTCGAATTGGCGGGTATGGACGCTAGCTGGCCGACCCACGCTGCCATCCCAAATTCTGACCTCTGCCCAGTTAAAGCAACTGGCAAATAGCTTGGCTACACCGCCCAACAATCCGGTGCACCATGTAGTATACTCTCCGGGTTGGAAGGATAGGATCAAATTCACCAAGTCTTCACATAGAGGGCACCCTCAAAGATATTGGCTGGAACTCAATACGGAGTATGCATTACCGGTACTTAAAGAATACATAAGGCTAAACCGCATAGATACGGAGGCACACAGGCAAGACTTCTTAGGCCTCAAACACCTCCTTAATAAGGACCCCCGCTTCCTGTCTTTCCTGGAATCTGCGCCGACGCGCTGCCCCCACTTGTTCAAAAGACACGCCAAAGCTCTTGCATGCGCATGGCTGCCATAAAAAAAAACCCTAAACCCTAAGCCCTAAACCCTAAACCCTAAACCCTAAATCCTAAACCCTAAACCCTAAACCCTAAACCCTAAACCTGAACCCGAAACCCCCAACCCTCCCCCCTCCCCTGGCCCCCCTGGCCCCCCCTGGCCCTGAAGGCGTGCCCTTGGAGAAGGCCCGGGAGCCCTCCCTGGTGCTCCGGTCTCTCAGCCAGGAGACGCACGGCGGCGATCATTCTGGCTTCCAGGACCCTGGGGGATCCTAGGGGGAGCTTTAAGGTTTAGGGTTTAGGGTTTAGGGTTTAGGGTTTAGGGTTTAGGGTTTAGGGGTTAGGGCTTCGGGCTTAAGGGCTTGGGGTCGGGGATTTTTGTTGGGGATTTAGGGGGCTTCATTTTGGGCCTTGGGCCTTGGGCTCACCCTTGGGCTCACTGAGCTTGGGGTGTTTGGGGGGCTCCGTGCCACCGCGCAGGGTTCTTGGAATATATATATATATATATTTATATTTATATTTATATTTATATTTCGAGTGCCCTCCGTGGCCGAACTTGTACGTTTTGTGTAATTACTTGTTTAGGCTTGGGGTTTTCGGGGCTTTGGGGCTTGAAAAATAGCGGACCTGTGTGGCTTCTTCGATTTAGGATTTAGGGTTTGGGGTTTAGGATTTGGGGTTTAGGGTTTCGGGTTTAGGGTTTAGGGTTTCGCAGGCCAGCGGGGAGAAGTTCCTGCCGATTCACTACCTCGACATCGACGGGAAGACACGACCCGACTTCTGGCGCCCCCCTGAACCCTAAACCCTAAACCCTAAACCCTAAACCCCCGGTTCAGGCTTGCGGGTTTTGGGGGTTCGGGGTTGAGGGGTCGAAGCTCTGAAACACCAAGGGCCGCTGAATCCTAAGCCCTGAAGCCCTTAACCCCTTAACCCTTAAGCCCGAAACGCTTAAACTCTTAAACCCTTAAACCCCTAAGCCCTTAAACCCTTAAATCCTCCCTTCGTCCCGTAATCCCTTTGTCCCTGAACCCCTTGAACCCTTAAAACCTAGCAGCGCGTGTTGGGGTTTAGCGGTTTAGGGTTTAGGGTTTAGGGTTTAGGGTTTAGGGTTCGGGAAAGCGGCGGTCGGCTTGAGTGTGTTGGCGTTGGCTTTGCCATGTCGGTGGATCAGGACGGCAGATTAGTCTGCTAGCTTTTGCCGGTTTTTTCTCTATGTCCTGTAGGGCCGTACGCAAACAGAGTTAGGGCCATTTACTCTGTCATTGTGAGTTTAAGGTTTAGTGTTCAAGGTTTAGGGTTCAGGGCCTAGCGATTGGCGTTGAGGGTGCTCCGTACCCTGAGGTCGAAACCCTCGATGCTTGTGTCTACCGAAGGTACTCGAGTTACGGCAACGAGTTCGTGAACCCCTCCGCGAAACCGCACAAAGACTCGGTGAAGTGGCGGCTTCTTGCTTGATTTGGGTTCTGTTTATTTGTTTTGTTAGGAGGGGTTGGCTCTAAGCTCAAACTGAGCCTAAAGCCCTCAAGCCCTTAAACCCTGACTGAACAAAACATGTAGCAGCAGAGTACCCATGGGTACTTGGGGTTCGGGCTGTGGACTCTCAACCCCCAAGCCTAAAAACCACCCCAAAATCGCCCTAAACCCTATACCCCGAGCCGTGGACATCCTTGAGATTCGCGCACCTTGCCAAGGAAGCGCCATGGCCACAAGCTGGTCAAGGGCTTCCTGAAGGACCTCAATTGGGTTGAGGGTTTGGATGTTCCCCCCCCCCCTATACGAACAGTCCTACATGGGGATTCTAGCACCCCCAATGAGAATCCCTATTCAGGCCTGTTACCTGAATAGGGATTTTGAGTACCCTCTATGAGACTCCCTCCTAAGGCCTGTTGCCTTAATAGGGATTCGAGTACCCCCCCTATTCTACGCCCTCTCAAGGATTGTTAGGATCAACGGGGAACCTCCCAAGTTGATGGCTGAGTTGTTTGGTTTAGGGTTTAGGGTTTAGGGTTTAGGGTTTAGGGTTTAGGGTTTAGGGTTTAGGGTTTAGGGTTTAGGGTTTAGGGTTTAGGGTTTAGGGTTGCTGTTTAGGGCTGGGTCCGCTGGTCCTCCAAAGGCCCAGGCCCGGTGGCTTTCTCCGAAACCCTGAACCCCAAACCCTAAACCCTAAACCCTAAACCCTAAACCCTAAACCCTAAACCCCAAACCCTAAACCCTAAACCCTAAACCCTTAGCTCTAAACCCTAGACCCTAAACCCTGAGCCCTAAGCCCCAAAGGTTGGTCCTTGGGGGCGTTCATTGCATTTATGCTCTCAAAAAGTTCGCTGGCTCATTCATTCACACTCATGTTTCCATAGTTATTGTACAGGTGCATTATGAAAGACTTCGTGTGCGCACCCCAAGAAAATGTAAAAGAAAAGGGAGTTAGAGGGGCAGGACGACTGTTGTTCGCCCTTTAGAATGCTGTACGCAATAAGGGCCTTACGCGCGCTTCCTTGCAGTCATTGTAGTACAGGCCCTCAATTGCTCTCTTAATGCTTTTTTTTGACTGGATCCCCGGGCTAGTCTGAATATCTTCATCCGCAAGAATGCGCCGGTGAATTCCAGAACCCTAGACCTACTGGCTGGGGTTGGGAAGTGTGGGGGTTTTGGGGGGCTGAGTGCGGTGAAGCGAACCAGTTCGAAGAACCCTAAGCAGGCTTTCCTTATGTGGGTGGGGCTTCTGTGAGCTTGGGACCCTCAACCCTAAACCCTAAACCCTAAACCCTAAACCCTAAACCCTAAACCCTAAACCCTAAACCCTAAACCTTAAACCCTAAACCCTGAACCCTAGGCCCCCAAAACACTGGAGACGAGTGTCCATTGCCGGGAAAGCCCCCCTCTCGGCTGCGCACCTTTCGCAAGTCTGAATCCTTGAGCCCCAAATAGTTTAGGCTGTGGAGCTTGTAGGGTTCAGGTTCAAGGTTTAGGGTTCGGAGTTTAAGGGTTCAGGGCTCAGGTTCAAGGTTTAGGGTTTGGAGTTGAAGGTTCAGGGTTTAGGGTTTCGGGTTTAGGGTGTGTATCAGTGTAAGGGTTCAGGGTTTAGGGTTTAGTTAGGGTTCAGGGTTTAGGGTCCAGGGGCACGCTGGAGGACCTGGGTGCTCAGATGCGTGAGACGCGCTCGACGGGGGACATCCATCATAGACCCGTTCCCGTAGGTTTGGTCGGAACGGACAAGGAGACCATGCGGAGGCTTGCGACACAGCCTCTCTAGCTGTTCTTAGGTGACTTAGGTGTCCCTAAAGGGACCTTGCTTCGACACCTTCGTCTTCGAAGCCTTCGAAGTTAGACTTGGGGGTATTTAGACACAGGGTTTAGGGTTTAGGGTTTAGGGTTTAGGGCCTCTTCTGGTGAGGTGAGGGTGTCATCTGCAAATGCCTCCGATGCCCTGGACACGAAGGCGCATCGCCCTGGCTGTGCCCATCGGCCAGTCGCAAGAGCCCTAAACCCCAAACCCTCAGCAAGCCGAAACCCCCAACCCAAAACCCAAACCCCTAAACTCTAAACGCGAAACGCTCAACCCGAACCCCTGAAACCCGAAACCCGAAACCCGAAACCCGAAACCCTAAACCCTAAACCCTAAACCCTAAACCTAAACCCTAAACCCTACACCTTAACATCGCGGAAGACAGCCAAAGCCAGTTTGGCATCCTGGAGCTGCGTCCCTGGCATTTTTCACTCTCCGCCTGCGCTCGGCCAAACCCTAAACCCTAAACCCTAAACCCTAAACCCTAAACCCTAAACCCTAAACCCTAAACCCTAAACCCTAAACCCTAAACCCTAAACCCTAAACCCTAAACAATAAACCCTAAACCCTAAACCCTAAACCCTAAACCCTAAACCCTAAACCCTAAACCCTAAACCCTAAACCCTAAACCCTAAACCCTAAACCCTAAACCCTAAAAACCCTAAAAACCCTAAAAACCCTATAAACCCTAAACCCTAAACCCTAAACCCTAATCCCTAATCCCTAAACCCTAAACCCTAAACTAAGTGAGGGGTCGCTTCCGTCGAGCGACACGGATTTTCGAGCGCCCCCCCCCTCCCGGGCCTGGGGGCCTCTCCCGAAACCTCGGCGGGCCCCCCATCTAGCCGGTCTGGCAGACGCTTTGCGCGGCCCCACCCGCCAAAGGCGACGCCCGCCAAGGCCCCCAACCGGCGAAGGCGACGCCCCCATCGAACCAAAAAGGTGGCCCAGGGGGTACTTCAAAAAGAGGGGGGGGGACCCCAGGATTTGCCCGTATGAAAAATGCTATTTTTTAGTACTGAAATCGATAGTTTTGGGCACCCCCTTGTGGGCCCCCCAAAAAAACACCAAGAGCCACCAAAAGGCTTCAAAAGGCCCTGTAAAGGAGGGGGCCCCAGGATTTGCCCGTGCCCACAATGAAAAATGCGATTTTTAGTACTAAGAACGATGGTTTTGGGCACCCCTGCATTTTGCTCCAAAAGGGCCAGGAAAGCCCCAGCAAGCCCCAGCAAGCCCCGAGACACCCCAAGAGCCACCAAAAGGCTTCAAAAGGCTTCAAAAGACCCCTAAAAGAAGGGGACCCCAGGATAAGCGATTTTTTGGTACTGAAATCGATGGTTTTGGGCACCCCTTCATTTTACCCGGAAGCCCCCAAAAGGCCCCAAGAGCCACCAAAAGGCTTGAGGCCCTTAAAGAAGGGGAATCCAGGAGCAGGCACAAAGGGTTTCCCTGACCTTCAAATAAATAAGGGCCTCTACGGGCCCTGACACGCCGAAGGCCCGAAAAGGGCCGAAGCTACCCCCAACCCCAGCTTAAACCCTAACACCGCAATTTAAAAGCATCAAAGCAAGCTTGCAAACCAAACTCCCGCGACTTGAGAAGGGGAATCCAGGAGCCGGCACAAAGGGTTTCCCTGACCTTCAAAGAAAAAAGGGCACGAAGAGACACGCCGAAGGCCCGAAAAGGGCCGAGGCTACCCCCAACCCCAGCTTAAACCCTAACACCGCAACTTTAAAAACATAAAAGCAAGCATCGGGGCACAAGAAAATAAATTCCATAAACCCTAAACCCTAATAGGGTAAAGTGTGGGTGGCCGGGGTGGGTTGACGGGCAACGCGAGCGCGCGGCCCGGGGTGTTTCACACCCGAGCGCGCGCCCTCCCCTGACAAACCCTAAACCCTAAACCCTAAACCCTAAACCCTAAACCCTAAACCCTAAACCCTAAACCCTAAACCCTAAACCCTAAACCCGAATCCCTAAACCCGAAACCCTAAACCCTAAACCCCAAACCCTAAACCCTAAACCCTAAACCCTAACCCTACACCCTAAACTTCAACCCCCTCGAGCTTTTGAGAAGTCAGTCGAGGCGTGAGGATCCGATGCCAGGCGGCTCGCTCGTGCTTTGTGGCCCTCCGAAGGAGGCCATTAGTTGCGGTTTAGGGTTAGGGTTTAGGGTTTAGGGTTTAGGATTTAGGGTTTAGGGTTTAGGGTGAGGGCATTTGAGGTATACCTTAACCCTAAACCCCAAGCCCTAAACTGTGCAGTCTCATGATTTCTAGGCGCCGAGAGCGGCTTCGCGGAAGCAAAATGGCGCCTCGAGGGCCTATCTCCCTAAAGCAGCCCTGACGCCTGTGAACCCTAATTCCAGAGAGGGTGTAGGGTTTAGGGTTTAGGGTTCAGGGTTTAGGGTTTGAGGTTTCGGGACTCTAAACCCTGAACCCTCTAAACCCTAAACCCTAAACGCTAAGAATCAGCTGAACATCCTAGCGCCTCAACAAAAAATGAACAGCTCGACGAAGCCACAATACCCTCCGCCAAAGCCTAGACCGAGGCCCTAAGCTCTAAACCCTGAATCCTCTTCCCACAGGCCAGTGTGCCGCGATGTTGGTTGCAGGTTCGCTTGCGGGAGGGCTAAGAAAACTTCCCTAAACCCTAAACCCTAAACCCTAAACCCTAAACCCTAAACCCTAAACCCTAAACCCTAAACCCTAAACCCTAAACCCTAAACCCTAAACCCTAAACCCTAAACCCTAAACCCTAGGGTTTAGAGATCCGGGGATGGGAAACGGAGCCCTGGCATGGAGAGAGCATTCAACTGTCAAGCCCTAAGCCCTAAGCCTACTCGGCTTTTGAACAGCCCTCTGCCAACACCACCGCAGTTAGGGTTTAGGGTTCAAGGTTTAGGTTTTCGGGTTTGGGTTTACGGTTTAGGGTTTGGGGCCGAACCTCCTGAACCCAAACGGTACCGCTTCTGAAACGGGGGTTGGGCAAATTGTTGGCTCTTTTCCCAACCGGTCACGCACGCACGCAAGGTTGTAAATGTCCTAGAGGTTCTAAGGCCCCGAAGCCCTAGACCCTGAACTTAAGCCCTACACCCCGACATGTGGGTCTCCGAAATTCGGGGATACCTTTCTTAGGGTCCTTACTGTAAGGGAATCCTACTATTTGGGGGACTCTCTCTTAGTGGTCCCTCAGTTTTCGTAAACCCCCACATGCCAAGCCCGCGCGTGTTCTCGGCTCTCAGCTTTGTGCAGCAGCCATGGCGCGGACCACCGTGCCCGAGGGGCTGGATGTCTCCAAGCCGCTGGCTTGATGTTTGCTGGTTCGTAGCAGGGAATGAGGGAATTCGGTACCATCTATCTTATATATATATATATATATATATATCTATTTATTTATTAGTCAATAAGCAGATAGATTCAGAAAGTAGCAACAGTATATCTACATACATATATATGGAAACCCTTTAAGGCTATTGAGGGTACCTAACTCCCTGTAGCCCTGCGAAGAGCCAGTAAGAAAGAGTTTAGGGTTTAGGGTTTCTTGGTTCAGACCTTGGGGGAGGGTTTAGGGGCTTTTGGGCTCAGAGTTTACAGAGCTTACAGAGTTCCTGGGCCATGGGTTCCGATGTAGCCTGGGGTTTCGGGTATGTTAGGAAGCAGCCCCGAGCCCACGCCTCGTGTCAGGGTTTAGGGTTTACGGTTTCGGACTAAGGTGGCAGATCATCTATCCCAACTACATCAACTCGAAGAAGACGGTTCAGGAGGGCCGTCGAATAGGCCTCAGTCAGGCCCGACGATGGTGGATACAGCCTGCATTGCCCCAAGTAAGCCCTAAGCCCTAAACCCCAAACCCTAAACCCTAAACCCCAAACCTTCAGCTTGACACTAGACAAGCGCATCCCCAAACTCCCAACCCCAAAGTGCAGGGTTTGTCCCCGCAAACCCGAAGCCCCAAGCCCTAAACCCTGCACCCTAAACCCGAAACCCCAAACCCTAAACCCTTAACCCTAAACCCCAAACCCTAAACCCTAAACCCTAAACCCTGAACCGTAAACCCTAAACCCTAAACCCTAAACTCTCTGAAGGCATGCAAGCATCCCAGGGCCTTCGAGATGGCGGAGGTGTGCGAGTGGCCGGCTCAGAAGCTGAAGCCTCATGGTAGGGTTTGCGGTTTAGGGTTTAGGGTTTAGGGTTTAGGGTTTAGGGTTTAGGGTTTAGGGTTTAGGGTTTGGGGTTTAGGGTTTCGGGTTTCGGGTGGGGTTTAGGGTTTAGGGTTTAGGGTTTGGGTTTGGGGTTTAGGGTTTAGGGTTTGGTAAAGGGCTCCAAGGACTGAGATCCTCGTGCAAAGGCCCTTAACCCTGACTTTGCAAGCTCGGCAGACCCTATCATCCACAAGCCCCGTGGTTCTTAGTAGGGAATGAGGGTACTCGGGTTTAGGGTTTAGGGGTTAGGGCAGTTAGGGCCCTATATATACCCATTAAGGGATTCTATGGGGTACCTCATTCCCTCATGCCCTACTAAGAACCAGCCAGTTTAGGGTTTAGGGTTTAGGGTTTAGGGTTTAGGGTTTAGGGTTTAGGGTTTAGGGTTTCGGGTTTCGGGTTTAGGGTTTCGGGTTTCGGGTTTAGGGTTTAGGGTTTAGGGTTTAGGGTTTAGGGTTTAGGGTTTAGGGTTTAGGGGGCCAAGGCGTGTTGTGAGGGCTTTTGGGGTATTGGCCTCGCCCCAAAGCTTAAGCCTTCAGCAGGAACATCCTGAACCCTGAGCCCTGAGCCCTAAACCCTAAAACCCTAAACCCTAAACCCTAAACCCTAAACCCTAAACCCTAAACCCTAAACCCTAAACCCTAAACCCTAAACCCTAAGCCCGAAACCCTAAACTCGCAGCCCTCCAGCAGAAGGCACCTCAAGATCCCGCACATCTGCGAGCCGCATAAGGCAGAGCGTGGCGGTCCGTGGCAGCTCATTT